AGGAATATATTTATTTTTTTTAATTCAAGTAGCGGCCTGGTGCGGGTTTGGACACACAGGCACATCCTGACCTACCAGTTGTCTGACGTCTGATACACTTCATAAAGCAGCAGTCCCCCAAAACACACAGGGACCCACTCGACCTGAGTGGTTAGGGCAGTTGCATATCTCAAATGTGTGTGTGGGTTCAGACCCCGATGCCAACCGTTGGCAGCGAACTTCATAATCTTAATATGTGTGCGTGTGTGTGTATGTGAGTGTGTGTATGTGAGTGTGTGTGTGTGTGTCAGTATATGGGTGTGCATGTGTGCATGCGGGTGTGAGAGTGGGTGTGAGTGGTTGCGTGTGAGTGTCACTGTGACTAGGTGCGTCGTGTGGGTGCTCTGCTTGCTGCAGCTGCCTCCGCCGCCCCGATGCTTTTTGCCCTAAACGGTGGCGACCGACGAAAAAAGAAAAAAGAAAAGTGGCAGCGCAGAACGGGAAAGCGACAGGCACGCGAGAAAGCGGGCGGAGCGGGAAAGCGGGGAGCGAAAAAAGAGCGGGAACGACGACACACTACAGCGGCCAAAAGAAAAGAAAAAAGGGAACGACGGGCGGCCCGATATGCAGCGCCAAAAAAAAGGGGGAACAACGGCCGCTACACAGTGTCACTGTGACTGGGTGCGTTGCGTGGGTGCTCTGCCTGTCGCGGCTGCCTCCGCCGCCCCGATGCTTTTTGCCCTAAACGGTAGTTACCGATGAAAAAAGAAAAGAGAAAAGTGGGAGCGGGGAGTGGGAAAGCGACAGGCACGCGGCGAAAAAGAAAAAAGAAAAGAAAGCAAGGAGCGAAAAAAGAGCGGAAAAGCGACAAAAAAAAAGGGGAATGACGGCACGCTATAGCGGCAAAAAAAAAAAAAAAAAGGGATCGACGACCGGCTCGATATGCAGCGCCAAAAAAAAAGGGGGAACAATGATCGCTACACAAAGCGGGCACACAAAACGACGTGGCTTTGTGTGTGTGTGTGTGTGTGTGTGTGTGTGTGTGTGTGTGTGTGTGTGTGTGACTGGGTGTGTTGCGTGGGTGCTCTGCCTGTTGCGGCTATCTTCGCTGCCCCGATGCTTTTTGCCCTAAACGGTAGCGACCGACGAAAAAAGAAAAGAAAGGTGCGAGCGCGGAGCGGGAAAGCGACTGGCACGCGACGAAAAAGAAAAAAAAACAGAAAACGGGGAGTGAAAAAAGGCGTGTGAGTGCCACTGTGACTGGGTGCGTTGCGTGGGTGCTCTGCCTGCTGCGGCTGCCTCCGCCACCCGGATGCTTTTTGCCCTAAACGGGACCGACGAAAAAAGAAAAGAGAAAAGTGGGAGCGGGGAGCGGGAAAGCAACAGGCACGCGGCGAAAAAGAAAAAGTAAAAGAAAGCGGGGAGAGAAAAGAAAGCGGGAAAGCGACAAAAAAAAGGGGAACGACGGCACGCTACAGCAGCCAAAACAAAAGGGGAACAAATGACCGCTACACAAAGCGGACACACAAAATGACGGTCACCCCGATATGCAGCGCCCAAAAAAGAGAAACAAAAAAGCGGGCACACAACACGACGGCCGCCCCGATATGCAGCGCCCAAAAAAGAGAAACAAAAAGAAAGAAAGAAAAGAAAAAAAGAGAGAAAAAAAAAAAGTGTACAAAACGACGGCCGGCCCGACACTCGCATATCGGAGGGCTCTCATTCGAGATGTACATACGCATCGACGTCCGCCGTCTGCCCCGCCCCGGGAGCGCGCTCTAACGTTTAATGGCGCGCTCTGAACCATTCGGTACGCACGCCGATCTGCACGTCTCCCCGCCATCGATCGCCTTCATCCGCCGGCCCGCACAAAAACTTCGACCCGAAACCGGCGCGCAGCGGATTGTCGACCTCCCCCCGCGGCCAATGCTCCCCCCGTGGTTGGAGTGGCTCGAGCGGTATAGGTGCTTGGAGTGGCTCGGTCGGTGCTTGGAGTGGCTCGGTGGGTCGGTGGTTGGAGTGGCTCGGTGGGTAGGTGGTTGGAGTGGCTCGGTGGGTAGGTGGTTGGAGTGGCTCGGTGGGTAGGTGTTTGGAGTGGNTGGCTCGGTGGGTAGGTGTTTGGAGTGGTTCGGTGGGTAGGTGCTTGGAGTGGGCTGGAAGAACTCAGCAGGGAGTAAGACGGCGTTGGGAAGTCTTAGAAGGGTTTGTTAGGGAACCTGAGGGTTGTGAGCATTCGTAGGAACTCTGTGGCAGGTTATTGCATGAGTAGTTCCCTAATAAGTCATTAGATACTCATGATCCTCCCCATGTTTCTGAATCACATCGTGTTCACAGATTGTTAACAGCCGAAGCCGGGTAATGGCCCCGGTATTTTAAATGATCTCAAACGATCTCAAATGTTATCAATGATCTGTACAATTCGATATGGGACGTTGGGCCCGGTTCCCAGCACGTGCTGCTCCACACGAGTGGACTGGAGCACTTGCTTAAAATAAATGCCAAAAATGGGAAATGAGACCATTTGTCGCGGCATTTTATTTGTGGTCTAAATGTTTTTTTTTTTTTTTTTTTTTTACATTTTTCGTGGAAAGATTAAAACCAAACCTGCAGACCCTTAAATTTTCAGCGGATTTGAGTCTTTCTTCCCAGTCCACCTAAGCGGTTATCTCATCGGGCAATTGGGTATTTCAAAATTTGTGCGTGGGTTCAGACCCCAACCCAACCACGACCACTGTGAGCAAGCTTCAAATACTAATACTAACATATATTTGTGTGTGTGTGCGTGTGTGGGTGGGCGAGCGGCCGGGCCCTCCGACTTTTCTTTTTTCTCGTTTCCTCGAAGCCGCCGGAAATGTCAAAAATGAAAAAGGAGCCATTGGCCGTCAAAAGCAGACATGAAAATGAGAACGAAAAGGGGCGAAAAATATTCAGAGCAACGAAAAGAAACAGAAAGATTTTAAAAAAAGGGGGCGAACCACAAAACGATGCTTCCTTGCTATCCAACGGCGGGCACTTCTAGATCTTCCCTCGCATTGACGCCCACCGCCGTTGGGCCCCGTGTGCGCGCTCTCTCGTTTTTTAGCGCGCTCTGAACAATTCGGTACGTGCGCCGCTCTGCACGCCCCCCTTCCCTCGATCGCCTTCATCCACCGGCCCGCATCAAAACTTCAACCCGATTCCGGCGTGCAGCAGAACACCGCCCTCCCCCCGCAGCCAATG